ATCTGTCTCTGCAGGCTTGGCTTTCTTTTCTTAAACTAGCCTTCACGCTTAAAAATAAAAGTTCCAAAAGGGTGTTTTTGCAGTGATGCCATAGAAGAACCGTTTTTGGTTCCGAAAAGGGCCTTTCAGTGAACAGTTGCTAAAACAACCATTTTGAAAAACGTTTTACAAATCTAAAGAACCTTTTCTGCATTTAAAAGGTTCCATGGATGTTCAAGGTTCTTCAAAGACCCATTGATACCAATAAAGAACCTTTATTTTTAAGAGTGTTGTAGGAAAGCCCTTTGGCACACATTGTGTTCTTAGACTGTTGAAATATTCTGTGGTCATTTAAGTGTTTTTTTCACTCGGTTGTTTCCAGGCTCTGAGGGATCACAAAACTATCACAAGGAAGTTTTTCAAATGGTTATCAGATGCTTTCGATGATCTCATTCTTTCTTCCAAAACAGGTTTATCGCACATTTCATAGTTCTGCTTAGCCTCTCGCCACTCACAGTAACACGGTCTGGGGTAAAATTCATGAGCAAAAGACATATCTGTGCTCATTTTACTCTACAAACACTTGCAGCGTGGTTTCTGTTTTGTGGGCTGCACCGGCGAAAAATTGAATGGTGATAAAAACCACAAACTTGTTATCAGTGCTTTCGGTCAAACAAGTGACCCAGAAAAGTTTCGAGTGGGCTTGCCTTTTAAGCGCTAATGGCGGTGTGTTGTGGTTTACTACTGCTAATTACGTCCCATGTGCTCAGCAGAGGGGATCCCTCAAGCACGGTTCCTTTGACAGCTGTTGTACATTTCACTTCACCGAGACTGCAAACTCAGTCATTTTTTTGGATCTCCAAATGTTTTGAATAGCACAGAAAGTGAAACTATACCACAGATGAGTTTCTCAAGATGAAACTTTCCGTGCACTTCCTCCTTACGACCAGGTAAAAGGTGTGTCGCCAGGATGTGTCTGGGGAATGCACCTGGACTGGTTGTAAAGTGTGTAAAAATGCACCATTTGCTCTGCTTTTAAAAATAATTATTGTTGTGTATCTTTAAAAAACTCTTCCTGCTGCTTTGACTCACGCTTGCAATGCACTGTTGTTGTTTATGTGGCAAGTTCTATTAATAAGGAAGCTCAGATACGCAAGATAACACTGTCCCGGTGTAAGTCAGAGGTGTGGTTCACTTTTCTGCATGCTCAGTAACTCCCCTGATCTGGTGTCTCCTTTTCCTGTGTCAATCAGATGAGGGAAGAACCCTTGTGTGTGTTTGTCTGTCTCTGCACAGAGACTTGTGGTTACTTGCTCTAGCAAACCCAACAGCAAGTGTAGCCTAACCAAGCGTGCTGTGAGCAAAACTGTGAGCATTTATATTGCAAGTCTTTGCCACTTTTTGTTAACTTAGCACAGTTCCGAGCTGCATTTTATTGCATGATTCAAACAAGTTGTGTTACAAGCAGCGGTTCTCATCTGGTGTTTCGCAGGTCTGTTCTAATAGGAACAGAAGGTGAAAAAACAATGTTAAATGCAAATAACTAACCATAATAATGTATAGTTAGGATAGCAAAATAAATGGGATTAAATAACTTCTAAAAGGAAAAAGAAAATACAACATCACCCCACACAATATAATATGTAAAACAGAATAAAATAAATAAATAAATAAATAAATAAAATGCAACTAACCATATAACCATGTATAATAGCAAAAATAAATAGGTTTAATTATTTTCTGAAGGGGAAAAAATATAACAATCTAAATACAAAATAAAACAAAATACAACCCCCGACCCCACACACAATATAATATAAAAAAATAGAATTAAAATAATAAAAATAAAGTGAAAAAACAATCATTTTAAATAATAAAATGACTAACCATATAATCATGTATAATTAGGAAAGCAAAATAAAGTGGAATTAATCAACTTCTAAAAGGCAAAAGAAAATACATCCATGGATTATAATATGTATAATTAAAATATTAAACATAATAAAAATAATAGTGTAAATAATAATTGATAATAAAAATTATTTGAGTGTCTGAGCAACTGTACCACTTTGTGTCCAGTTTAAAATCTGTGTCTTATATGAAAACTGGTTGAAATCCACAGCTTTATTGTAAAAATAAATATTTTTTTTAGAGATTATTTTATTTATTTGCACTACACGTCTACGGTATCTAAAGCTTAAAAATAATGCTATATTTGTTCTGCTTATGTAGGCCTTGATGTTGACTGTATTAGGTCAATATTGAAATGATATTACGTTACATTAAAATGACTGGCAGTTTAATAAGCTCTGGCATATTAATGCTTGTTTTAAACTCTAATATAAGCCCAACAGGTTTTAAAGGTTATGTGAGAATTTGAAAAAGGTATGATGAAACATGTCTAGGCCTGTGGATTGCTGTAGGCTGCAAGCTACAGCATGTGGGCGGACAGCTTTCTAGAGATAGTGTGTGTGGCACACATGTTCATGTCAAAAAAAGTTGTGCAAACTGAATGAACACACTCACAGGCTGTTTATTGTCGGTCTTAAAGCAATATCATGGACAGCACAAAATTATGTAATTATACCAAAGAAGTCACCACTTTAGAAATCATAAATTGATTGCATAGTAAAAAAGTGAGCGTTCTAAACTAAAAGGGAGCCAGGAATAATGTGCATTGGCAGTAAATGGGTGCCATCAGAATGAGAGTCTAAACAGCTCCAAACATCACAATAATCCACAAGTAATCCACACAACTCCAGTCCATCCATTAATGTCTTGTGAAAAAAAATAAATAAATATATATATATATTCAAACAGTTGCT